ACTCTGCTTTAGGTGCTCTATACCAAGGAGTTTATATACAGTGAGTTTGAGTAAAGTTCAGTAAATACCATCTGGTGCAGGCAGAGACTCATGGGCAAAAGGGTCAGAAGATGCCTGGGATTCCTCTTCAATCACCATCCTTTGGAGTGGCTCAGACAGATGCAGATGATCAAATGTACCCCACCTCTGAGTTGCTGTTTCTTCTGATAAGATATGCATGAGGGCAGCTTAGAGTTGGGAGGATAATTCTTTTGGGAATGGATACCATGCAGTGGGAATTTAGGACTCAGAGATGTAGGGGGCTATGGAAATGACTGTTGTGCAGTATTTGGAGACCTGAGTTGAAGCGGAGATCATACACAGAGCTTGTTGCTAAGGGGAGGAAAAGCCACTGCCCCAGCAAGCAAATGGATAAAAACCTCTGGCTCATTCAAGATTCAAAGACAAACTTGCTTGTTTCTCCACACTGACATTTATTAATTACCAGGCACCATACTGGGCGCTTCAAATGTATTATCTCATATAATAATCATAACAACCTTGTGAGATAAGTATTATTACTCTTATTGTCATTTTACAGTTCAGCAAACTGAAGCGCAGAAAAAAACATTTTTTCCCACTATATAATACTGTTTGCCAGAACTGGGTATGTTATAAATTGGAATATGAGAAAGCTGAATATAAAGATAACAGGTATGAAGGGGTGACTTTAGAATAGTGACTTTGGAAAAGCATAAGCATCAATGAAGTTTACAGACATGGAAAAAGTTGATCTTCTCAACATCATACAGCTACCCGCGGGGGGAGCACCAGGACTAGCGTGAGGAGAGCGACGCACTCACGTTGGGTGCAAAATAGAAGGACTTGGAAAAACTCAGTATTTAAGATGTGTATTATTTTAATGCAATATTTAAAATTTCAAAATTAATTCAAAAATCTGCGATGAATAAAATATCAAAATTTAAATAAAGACAGGATTATTATTACTGAATTTTCCTTCTGTCTCTTCCTCCAGTATGGCCTGGCATGGTACTAGGTAGGAGGCCTGAACTTGAATGCTGTCAGAGTTCAGAACCCAAGCTTGTAACTGTTATTTGCTGATGTTTGTCAGGATTTGAAAGATAAAGAAGCGTCTAATATAACTTAAAGAATGTAAGACTGATGGTCAAGGATAATGGCAAAAACCTGGACTTGTTTCTTTAGGAGGAAAGCAGAGAAAATGACTAATTTAATTTCCCATGTATGTTCCCATTTAGAAACTTAAGTGTCTGTGTAGTTTGGCTTCAAAGACAGAGGACCAATAAAAATCATGTTTAACTTTAAACTTTTCCTTGCCTCTCTTGGCACTCTTTTATCAGTGACAAGAATCCAATTACTGATCATAAGGAGCCTAGAGCAGTTTCCCTGCATCTGGTGGTATATTTTTCTCTAAGAAATATAAGATAAATTACGAGTGACTTGAAAACTGAGAAACATTTCTTATCTCACATAACAGAAGCTCTGGAAGTAGGGCGATTGTTCCAAGATTGGATAATTCAAGGCTTCAGCAATGTCATGTGGACTCAAGTTCTTTCATTTTTAACCTTTGCCTTCTTCAGTGAATCAGCTGCTGTCTTTATGGTTATAAGGTGGCTACAGCCCCTCCAGGCTTTATCTTCTCATGTAACAAAGTCCTTGTTTCCCCTTTTAACAGCAAGAAAACCCCTCCCAGAATCTCTCATCCAATATCTGACTCTAGAACAAATTGTGAATTCACATTTTTATTTGTTGATAGCAATATAGCAAAACCTTAATTTTCTTATATTTAAAAGAGAGATAAAATAATATAGCTATCTCATTAGGTTATTGAAAGGGAAATGTGGGTTAATATAAATAAAGTTCTTAGAGTAGTATCTGGCAGGCAATATACACTCTCTAAGTGTTAGCTACTATTATTTTTATTATGATCCTCAATGTAATATATTTAATTTAACTCATGGAAACATGAGAGGTAAGAAAATATAATTAAAAAACCCCCCACATCAATAAAAGGTTTAGTTGCATTGTATAGTATTATTCCCATTGATATGATGATATGGATGTGATATCCGAGAGAGGGAGTTAGAATCAACTTGAGGACTACTGTCTTATTTAAGTTGCACCTATAATCTGTATCTGTTATCTGTATGTACCTCTATATCGATGTTTTTAAAGTCGTTGTCCACGTAACTAAAAATCAGAGGCTGATCTCAAGCCAGCAACATTGACTTCATGAACACATCCTGGCTTGACTATTTTAGAACCAAGCAATATACGAGTGTATATATAGTGCATTTAGGCATAAGGATAATTAAACTGATATCTATTTTGTTGGATTTTTATTGTTAAGTTCCTCAGTGAACATTTAGAAAAAAGGGAAATGGGGAAATGGTTTCAATCTATTCAGATCATAAAAATCCCATTTGCCATATTCTTCCATTAGATAAAAAATATACTAATGCTAAAAAATACATTTAATGGTGCCATTACAATCCAGTTCCTTACATACAGTTCTTTAAAATTTTTCAATTGCAATTATAAAATTCCATTTCATTTCCTTTCTCTAAGGTTTAATCTCATCATTCAGACTACCATATCTTGCTCCTATGAAACTCTCCAGAATGCAGTAAAATAAGGTCCAAAGAGTAAAGTTACATTGTCACTGAATCATGGAGATAAGTTTCCCTGAAACCAACATTTTGTAACTTGGCATCCTTGGAAGGGTTGTGAATCCCCTGAAATAAAACATAAAATTAAAATTCCCCCAGAAATCCTTTCTCTTATATCACTTTTCCCCTTTCTAGTATATGTGCTGTCTGAGCGAGCACACACTTTTCCCCTTTCCGTAGGATCTTACCCATCTGCGTAAAATGGAATGTTCTTCCCATTTTAACAGTGTTAAACAACAGAAAACCCACTATGATTCTAGTACTCTCAAACATTGCCCAAACTCTATCATTTATAGTAAGGTGTATTTACCACCTCTAAATTCTTCCCGTTTGGTCTTGAAACGCATTCCATTGAAACAGCCCTTTGAAGGTCACCAATGACATCCTCATCATTAAATGTAAAGGTCTATTCTCAGTCTTCATCTTACTTGGCCTATCAGCAGCATTTGCCAGTTGATCACTGTACCCTCCTCAAGACAATTTCCTCACTTGACATCTAAGACATTACACTCTCTTTTTTTCTGCTTCTCTCTCTCTCTCTCTCTCTGGATGTGTGTGTGTGTATATCTCTGTCTCCGTCTCTCTCATCTCTCCTTGTCATAATCAATTACTGGTTCATCCCTCTGACTGATCTCTCTGTCTTCTAAATGTTAGTATGTTCCTGGGTCCACGTCCTTGGTGATATCATTCAGTACCATGATTTTGGATAACTTCTATCTTCTGCTGAACTCCTAAATTTTTATCTTTAGCTGAGAATTCTCTTTTGTAGGTCATATTGGGTGGTACAAACATCTACATCTCCACATAGATGTTTAATAGGCAACTCAAGTTTGAGAAGTCTAAAGCTCAGGTATTTTTATACTACCCCTAAAAAACCCTTTTTCTCTCCAGACCCCCCCATTTCAGCAAGTGGCATTTCCATCGTGCCAATTTTTCATGCCAAAAACCCTGAAGTTATCCTGTAACCCTCTGTTTCTTTCACACCCAGGAGCCAAACTGTAAGCCTATATGATTAATTCTATCTTAAATACATTCAGAAAATGACCACATTTCACACACACACTATCATCCTGATAGAAAACACCATCATCTTTCCCCGTGCTTATTTCGTTTGGCTCAGTATCAGTAGATCTCCCTATTTTCAACCTGGCATTCTTTCAATCCTCAACACAGAGAATGAAGTCAAATTAAGTCAAATTACTTCATTCCTTTACTCTAACCTTCCAATGACTTCCTATCTCCATCAGAATAGAAGCCTAATTTTAGAGTCCTTAACCTTTAAATAATATCATATATTGATATAATTCTAGTTTTTTAAGATATCAAAGGAAGAAAAATCTCTGAAAAGCTAAAATAGTTTTTAAACTTAAGGAAAACATAAATCTAAAATTTAATTTAGATTGATGAAAAATCAGTTGCAACTTATACCATATTTTTAGATAGATAGCCTCTTCAATCAGATATTAGAGGCTGTCCTTGCTGCCTCAGAGTAATTTTCATATAATTAAAATGAGAAGGACATTTTGGACATACCTATTATGTCTATTTGCTTGGATTTTTATTTTTTAATCTTTCATTTTGCAAAAAGTTTCTATCTCCTAAGATACACAAAATCGGAAGATTTATAGACTTCAGTTTTCCCTAATTCTATCTACTAAAGTTACTAGACATTTAAATACTTTTTATTTTCAGGTACTGGGATGCTTAACAAGGATAAACAAATTCCATCTAGCTGGAACCTGATATGAATACTACCTTGACAATTCCAGATTTTTCCTGATGCACCACAAGTTATAATAAATGGACCTATCAGTCTTACTTGAGCCACAGCTACTTACATCTACTTGGCACTTCTTGTTTGCCTGGGAAAATTTACAGAGGCATCTTCTCCATGATGCTTTCCAGTATAATATGGGCCAAAGATGATATCTTCTGCTCCCAAACATCCATAACTTAGGGTGTATATTGCAATTTGAATAACATAGATGCACATTATTTCAATCCATTCCTAATTTTGCCCTCTATTAAACTCTTATTTATATTATAAACTTCTCAAGGGCAATTTCTTTCTTGGTAACCTCATAGGGTCCAGTACCATAAGTATTCAGTAACTTTTCTTTTAATTGAATACACATGCTTACTGTGACAAAATATAGTTTCTATTTCTGAGCCCCCCAAAAAATGTAGCCAAGAGACATTTACATTTATAAAATTGACATTTTGTGTCAAAGGCACAAATCGGGATAAACAGCTTTTCTTAGTTTTTTGGGGAATGATTGTAAAAAATTTTCTCTTGTTTTTAATTACTTTTAGCGAGCTCAATTTCCAAGATTGGCTCAGATCCTCTAAAACTTGTACATGATGCTGTGGAAGAAACCACGGACTGGGTCTATGGCTTCTTTTCTCTGTTGTCTGATATCATCTCGTCTGAGGGCGATGAAGAAGATGATGATGATGGGCATGAGGACACTGATAAAGGTACAAAGAGCATAGAAACACACCTAACTTCTTTGAACAATATTAGTTACGCATTATGGTGGTTTGCTTAAGTTTAAACACAAATGAGCGCTGGGGTCAGGCTAAACCAAAATGAATACACTTCTGAGTTCTAACAGCATAATCAACAGACTACCAAACTCAGTAAATTGGTCCCTGTTTGGCTTTCATCTTACAGCTCATCTGCCATTATGGCAAAGATGTCAAAATTAAATGCTACCATTTGGGTGGCACTATAGTAGAGAGGGTCTTACTATGCACTAATACAAACTCACAAAAAGACCTCACAATTTATATGTTTCTTTGGGGAAAAAAATAGTAGCTATTTCTCAAGTTTATCCTTAGGAAGACTGAAATAACAATAATTGATAGACATTTGTTTTATACATGTAAGTCATATTCATGATCAAAGAGAAAGCAGTTACATTAAAATCATAATCAAAAGTAAATTTATTGAAGCAAATGGAGGTGTAGAATGGAGGGACATGTTCTAAATGTCACAACAATTATGCGACTAACCTATGTACTGTCTCGTATATATTAATAAACAAAAGGAAATAAACTCCAACCATACATAAACTACTATCGAGTGGATGTGAAAAGAACAAAGTGTTATGAGTTTGTCTTTTACATGACATTTTTAGGGTCAGCCTTAGTCATCAGAAATCATGTATTCAGCCTTGACTACCAGGAAAGCTCTTATTATTTTAGCCCTCTCTATGACTTTGTCTGAATTTGTATTTGTTTGGCCCCAGTGAGAGGTCGAGATGAACAATAGAGAACTGAAATGAACATGATATACGAACTGTAATGTATAATTTGGATTGCTGCCACGATTTTATTGAACTCATAAAAGTGAAACTATCTCATATAAATGTACATACACAAAGTTTATACTTAAAAACTGGAATTTGGGAGGCAAAGTAATATAAGGACTACTAATGTCAAAACTAATAGATGGTTTTTTTAATGAACAAAAGAAAATGGGAAAAGAGAGAGGCAGTATTATGCTATGCTAAAAGTTTTTCTAATTTACTGTTTTTGTCTTGGTTTAGGAGAAATAGAGGAGCCTCCCTTGAAACAAAAAGGTTGGTTGTTTTCATCTTTTAAAAATGTGGTAATGTTGATTTTCAGCATGATTCAGATATATTTTACATGAGTTGTAGCCTTAATTTATTTTTAATGTGTAGTTTTTGTTTAATGATTAGATCAAGATTTATAGTTAGGTAGAGAAATACTTGATTCTTTCCAATGAAACTGATCCCACTATTTTTCAGTTTATTATTTAATTGATGCCTTCTTCAGGAGATGTGCAAATCCATCTACACACAGATCCATGTGATTTGGAATCAGGAATGAGGAGTGAATTCTGTAGCCTCAGAAATGGCCCAGAAGATGATGATGCCCATGATCTTTATTCTCACTGTGGCCAGATTTATTGATTTAACATTTTTATTCATTTCCTCCTTATTTTATTGTCACTATTCGTATTCTTCATTTTTAGGTGATAAGTAGGGGACAGGGTGTGTGAAATAGTATAGAAAAGAATAATCTTGGAGGCAAAGACCTATCCAGTCAGTATGTGTCATGTATAATCCCAAAGGAATAGAGTTACCTGGATGTACTTGGATGTGTAATAGATGGATTTCTTGCAGAAATAGATCTTGCTAGGCTCTTCCATAACTGACCGGGATGATCACAAATCCAAAAGATGGAAGCAATATGACCAGGAAAAACTGGTATAGCTATGGGGCAAGAGCCTCACAGGGCAAGTATTTTTATAGGAAGGAGTAAGAATTGTCTAGAAGGGACAATAAAGAGAAGGGATACCATCCCTAAGGTATAGTTGGTGTCAGAGAGAAACAGCCAACACATAGCCAGACTTGATACAGTTGTGATGTTTTAGTTATTGCTGCACATGTTCAGCAGCAGGCTTTTGGGAGTGTTTACTCCAGGGGAGAATTTGCTGGCTTCTGTTGCTATCTGCCTAGACCTACTGTAGATGCAAACAGTGGGATCCAAATTTGGAGCTTCAGCCTTGTCTGAGCAGATGATGATTATCTCATTATCTGGGGTAAAATCCACTTAGTGTATGTTAATTTAGAAAATTTGAATTTGTAACTTGTCCAACAAATGAGCGCTAAACTAGTGAAACCCAAATGCGGGAAAGCCAGAAACGAAAAGTATTTATGAAGTTATCGAGAGGAGAAGACAGGTTTCTTGATCACAAATCCAGGATGAGAACTCAAGCCATAGTTCAGCCATCAAATCCAGGTTTAGAGATTCTAGAATTCTAGAATTCATTTATAAAATTCTTGAGGTTAGAAACAGTTTTTTTTATAGCTGACCTCCAATGGATAGGGCCTAGAACATAGTGAAAGTTTAAGCTAATTAATTACTAGTCATTATTGGGAAACAACAGTTTATGTAGGTGTTCTAATTAGAAATGGAAGAGAGAAAAACAAATAATATTTTCTTACTTATAAATTGAATTTTACAGAAATATCATAAGATCATATTCTCCATAAATAAATATCTAGAATTTAATAACAAATCCGTTCTTTCCTTTCGATTTGAATTTCTCTGTGGGATTATTTCAAAATTGTTTCATGTAATGATTAGCACAAATTGCAAATCCACACAAAGCTGCTTAATTATTATTCTTTAAATTATTGCCTTGTTTTATAAAATCAACAGAAAAACTATTAAATAGTTGTTAGGGATACTTTTGAAAAAGATGTCAGTAATGTTCATTAGTTAAAACAGTCTAAGTGATCTATGTGTTTAAAACCATGTACCCTAATGTCTTGAAGGATTAGTAAAAGAAGAATTGACTTAAAATCATCTGAATATATTTTCTTAATATTATTCACAAAGTGGCATGAGAAAATGGACATCTAAGGAAACATCTTATATATCTTAGCTTGGGTATAGAAGCTAGGTAATAATGAACATTGGTTGAAGTGGATTGAAGGAAATATATTTCATTATAATTATTATTTTTTTATTTATAAGCTTTTCCATTGTAGTGTCATAGAGGCAATGAGAATTTTAAAGCAGTATGTAATATTTTGCAGAACATTTCTAATTATATTCTGTTTTGAAAAGTATATTTTAAATATTATTATTAGAGAAAAGATGCTATGAGCTTATCCCTATTTTATGATGGCTTTTTAATACATTTTCATATTTAAAAATTGTGGTTTAAAAAGTATACATTTTTTGGTAATCTAGAATAACAGTCTCCTAAAACATTTCGTTTTCATCCATTTAAATGACTCTTTATTGATCTCCTCATGAATACTCTCTCTCCATTGGGATATATTCAATAATATTTAGCCATTTTGTATTACCTGAATTATCACACTGTGGTATTGTTTATTCAACTGTCCTGTGTCTTTATGAAGCATTTTATTTAAATGACTTAAAATCTTAGTTTCATTTGTCCAGTTGCTACTTTCATCAAAATAAAAACTCAACCACCCTGTTATTTGTGGGTGGAGTTTGCAGTTCTAAGTTGATGTGGAATAATGGTCTAGTCAACTAATCTCAGGGTTGCAGGATTGATTATTAAATAGATTATTAACATGGATGAAATTTTTGAGTCTGCAATTCTGTGGCTTATGTTGTTATATATAAATACAGCATTAGGGTATGAGATGTAGTACCTAGTGTCTTTATGCATCTTTATTTTTCAGCTTGTCAAAATTTTAAAAATAGTAAATTCTATTACCAAACACTACACAGTGAGAGTCCAAGGCACTGAATCATTATAAAACATTGTATATTTTTTATATAATTATTTAAAACTTACAATTATGAAAAACAAGTACCATTGTAAATCATAGTTCCTGAAACAATTACGTGTTGTGTATGGTAAGTGTGCTTTGGTTTTCTGGAATCTCCTGTTGTATAGTTTCTTCACTGGAGGGTGTACATCTTGGATGTTAACCTCCCACTTTCCAAGGGGTACACAAGTACAGATAGCTATAAAGGACTGAAATTATATTTGTATGCTTTCCTAACATAGATTTGCCTGAAAACACATCTAAGGTCATAACAGTACTTCCACTTAACAATATAAAGAAATAGCCTTCACCCATCCTAAAATTGCTGGAATGCTCACCCAAAAGACCAATAGGCCTTTCTGTCCTGCATACATCTGCTAAAGGAGAATCATGGTGCTGATACACACGTGCTCTTTTTCGTGATGGGATGGTCTGACTCCAAAGATATGGTAGAGTGGAGGAGACTGGAGCAATGATAAGTTTCATTTCATGACTTTGCCTTTTATTTAGCTGAATAATGTGAAAGATTGCACTGCTCTTGAGGAAGATTCCCATGAGAGCAAAGCAAAAAGAATATAGTTAAGAAATACTGAAAGCTAAAAATGCCTTTTAAAAATTTAAATGTAAGTAATTCTTTTCATTTATTATCAATACTTGCTCTTAGGAAGTGCCATTGGCTTGAAAGAGCACTTTGAAACAACCACAACGGTGTAGGTTGGTGACACTGATTCTTTTAAATATAACTGGGATATGTTCTGACACAACCAAACTTTTAAAGATGCATTGACTAAACCCAGAGAGGCCACATTTCTGTGATACCTTTCAGATTAATTCTGTATTGTTCAAAAAAGGACTTTAAAACATACTTTATATAATTATAAAACATTTAATTGTAGTCAAACCTCATCTTATTTATCTAATGTAAGATGTTTAATATTTTGTATCTCCTATTGACAAAAAATTAAGTCAGATGCTATTTGCAGACCCAATTTACTCTCTCTATATACATATATGAAAGTGTGTATGTATATATGCATATTACATTGTGTATCATTTATTCATTAGATGTTATTTATATGTATTTTTACCTCCTATTAATAAAAAATATAAAATTATATGCTATATTGGTTATATATGTATATGTAAATATATATATTTAATACATATTCTCTTTTCCTTAATAATTATACAACTTGATGGTAGCTAACAAAATTATTAAAGTTATTTCTTTTATATTTGAAACTTATTTATTTAGTCCCAAAAGTAAAACATTAGAATTTGATATCCCCTTCACACATGTATTGCTGAAATGTCAAACTCTTTATCATGTCTTGGTTTCACAAACAGTTTAAAATCTTACCTCTATATTACATGACATTAGTACAAATAAAATAATTTACAATAGAATATTGGTTTTTCTTGTTTTTATAACTTATTTTCAAAATAAATTTATTATATTAAATCTATGTCATTTTAGTCTTTTCATCTACTTTTAATAACATATCTTCCAGGTGTGTTGCAAAATTTATTCTTTCTTAATAATTTCCTCAAGATGCAAACTAAAATTTTTTGAACTGCAAAACAAAATTACATTTTTTGAGAGAGGTAAATTTGATTTGAGTAAGAGGTTTGAAAACAAAGGCTGGTCCCATTAGCTAACATGGCAAACATTTTTTATAAAGTGAGCAGCATCCAAGGTCTAGATGAAATATACCTAAAGTAAGACGTACATTTAAAGGTACATAAGACAACATCATTTTATCCAAAATCATTACCATTTATAATATTTTGATTTTTCTTCACCCTTTTTGAAAATATTAATTGGCCACACAGGGTACTCCTGAGTAAGAGTAGTAGAAATATCTAGCAGTCATTTGGTGAGTCTGATAAAATCATTTTACTTCCAGGAAATTCAGAAAGTAAATGACTCTCAGAATTGAGTAACAAACCTTTTGTTTGTGTTTTTCAAATTTTTGTTTCCAATATAACTGAAGAAGGCATTAGTTACTCAGCTGAGAGATCACTGAAAATAAATTCCTTGTTGATTCCCTATGTTATTTTACCATTACTTGGAAGAAGATTAAAAAAAAAAATAACCTTACCATAATAAAATTGTCATCTCTGTGTTTGTGTGCATGTATGTGTAGATCTATATACATGTACATGCATAAGGCATATGTATGCATGTGTGCATACATGTTCATAAGGCTTCTCAACATTTGTATCTTTAAAAGTAAATAAAAGGGTTAGATTTTTCATTGAATCTTTTTTTTTTTAAAGATTTTATTTATTTGACAAAG